GTTTGATTCGTTTAACCAACCAAACGAAAAAAAAATTTTTGACATTCGTCTCGCTTAGTTATCGAACACGAACTCATTGAGGAACCGAACACGAACTGTTCACGGACAACGAGCTTTTTTGGCAACCCAGTGGTATGTATATAACTTTTTCTTATTTATAAAACATTAGAAATTGACCCGATCAAAAAATATATTAAATCGAACTAAACGGAATGGGAATTTAATTTGATTTCATTGTTATTATTATTGCATCCGGGCCCATGTTCCTCGACTCTTTGGTTGACAGCTGCCATGTCAGTTCTAAGTTCGATCCCATTGGTACGCTGATCAATGAGTGGTTAGGCAAATTAGGTTGGCCGAGGGGATATTTGCACAACTATAAGGATATTTGCACAACTATAAATAAATAAAAAGCCTACAATTTTATTATAAAAAAGACAATAAAATAAAACAACATAACTAACCATTAATATTGATTTAAATGATATTATAGAGGGCGACCCCTTATCCGTAATATAATGAAGAAGGAAAAGTGATGTTATTCAAAAGAACAAAATGCCAACTTTTACAATAGTGCGGGCCCAGTCCTTTTTTGCTTATTGGGGCAGCTTATTTGGTGCGGTGACATTTTGAAAACGCACCTGGCATGTTTGGGTAAACTGCGTTTTGGCAGCTTGTACGTTTTCAAAATGCCAAAAACATTATTTTCACACCGCACCTAACCAAGTGCGGGGGAACTTTCTAGCAGCGATCTGATTTTTCCAAAAAAATAAAAATTTGAAATAGTCATCGCACCTAACTTCTCAGTAGATTTCGCACCTAACTTCTCAGTAGATTATTTTTAATCAATTTATCAGCAAATTATTCAATAAACTGCAGCTGTCTCAAATAGACCCGATACACAAAAGTTGAGGTTTTCTGGATGAACACTATTAAATTTACCAAAAAAAAATAAAAAGGGACATTTAAATACATATCACCCAATTCTCATGTATTTACATATCTACCACTTGAACTTACTTTTTACACTTATACCATCCAAATCTTCATCTCCTCATATATATATATATATATATATATATGGAAGATACACATACATACCACTCATTTCTTATGCATTTACATAACACCAAAAATGAAATTTTTACATATACAGGACCTTAGCTATGGATGAAATAAAAGCATTTCACCTTTTAAAAGTTAAAATGGTGATACTATAAGAAAGATTTGGGTGGCGTAATTGTAAAAAGCAAGTTTAGGTGTTCGATATGTAAATACATAAAAATTGTGTGGTATGAATGTAAATGCTCCAGCATAGAAAACTTGGTCGCTTATTGCTAAGTTCCTACCAGGTAATAAGAATACGAGATGGTCATTCCGCGGCTCCGGCGAAGCAGCAGCAGCGAACAACTCCGTTAAGTCTCTCATAAACTCTGCTCTCCCAAAACGCACAATTAATGAATTAAAATAACCATCACCTAATTACAGTCACAAAATTTGTGTTGCAGAAAAACAGGAATGTTTCAGGCATGGAAACTGCAGCAAAAACATGGCTTGGGAACAGAAACAAAGTTTCTCCATTATTGGAAGGAGGAGGTTCAGAACAGATTGTTCCCTATGGGAGAAGCAGAAGCAGAGAGCAGACTATTGATTTATCAATGGCGCTTGCTATGGCTCTCAGCAATGGCGGGAAGCTCCAAAATATTGAAATTATGGGCAGTCCCAATGCAGGAAGGAAGATTGTGCTGCACATGGATGGTGGGATGGGTTCTAAGTTCCCTCAAATAGGAGAAGTGGTCAAAGGTGTGCAAAATCTTAATATGATACTTAAGGCGTGCTCTAATGGGTTTAGTTTCAGCAGAGATTTTGCAGAAATTGGGGGAGAATTGCTTAAAGGGGCCATGGATCTCGAGGAATCATTGAAAATGCTAATGAAGATTCAAAACGCTTCGGATTACATGGTCGGTTCACAGAAAAAGCAGCAGTTAAAATTGCTGAAAGGGGAAGAGGAAGAAGATGAGACGCACCGAG